CACACACACACACACACACAGACAATCATATGTACACATATACACACAGTCTTGTAGGTTCTGTTATTATAATCATAAATTTTTTTACAGGGGTGAAAGAGGGCAAACTCATCAATTCTTTGGCAGAATGAGTCAAATGATACACATGAAGCACACTTTAACAAAAGAAACTAATTAAAAGGACTTTAGTATTTGTTTCCTATTGCTAATGTAACAAATTGCCACAGACTGGGTATCTGATAACAATAGAAATTTATTTTCTCACAATTCTGGATGGCGGAAATCCAAAATCCATATCACTAGACCAAAATGAAAGTATTGGTAGGGCTGTGCTCCCTCCAGAGGCTCTCAGGAACAATCCTTTTCTTGCCTCTTCCAGCATCTGTTGGCAGCTAGCATTACTTGGCTTGTGGCTGTATTATGCCAATCTCTGCCTCTGTAGTCACACTGCCTTCTCCTCTTCTGGGTGTCTTCTCTTCTGTATAAAATATTCCTCTGCATCTATCTTAAAAAGACATTTGGGATTGCATTTAGAGCCCTCACTTCTAATCCAGGATAATCTCCCCGTCTCAATTTCATTAATTTAATCCAACTGAAAACAATTCTATTTTGCCATATAAGGTAACATCCACAAGTTCTAAAAATTAAGAGATGAATATCTTCTGAGGGGCAACTTTCAGCCTACCACAATATTCATCACTATATATTTCAATACAGGGAAAAATTATAATCATATCAAATGGCCAACAATATAAACTGGTTCTATCATATCACAGTCACAGGATAGAATGCTAAGTGACCATTATAGTTAGTTTTAATGGAAACAATGAGATTTTTTCCCATCAAACTACATAAAAATTAAAAATATAAGGAATAGCCAGCATTTGCAAAGACATGGGAAATTAGACATTGTAATACATTGTTGGCAGGAATATACATTACAACATTTAGAAGACTTGAAATAAATAGTAAAATATATACTGTTTTGGCTTTTGGGTAAAAGTTTTAGGTATAGGACGTTTCATGAAGATATACTCCCTTCTCAAGTACAAATTGTATAGAGAAGGTTGATTTTATAACTAGTTTTGTGGCAGTAAAAATGGGAAAGAAGCATAATGACTTGCAGGAACAAATGAAAAACTAAGAAATCATTAATAAGAAATTAGATTTGTACTTGAAATTGAAAGACAGTATGATGTATTAAGTGAAAAATCTAGAAAGATAGACTAGATATATTGTTAACCTAATAATCAAGGCACACAATATTTTCTATAAGGAAGGAGGAGAGAAGACATAGGGGACTTATGCTTCTGTTGTTGTTGTAATTAATTTACAACAAACATTTACTAATTACTTTTGTAGCCAGAAAGAAGTGATGAAGTTAAAAGCCTGAAAATATGGGGAATGTTGTGAGGTAGGTTGGTTCTCACTCTCCTGAAGACAGTTTCTTTGTCTACAAAATGAAAAACCTCATAGCATTTTCCTGAAGATGCAATGATATCATGTGTTGGTTAGAGCCATGCTCAATACATATTTAACCCCAAGATGTTAATGAAGTTGTGGTAAAATATTTTTGATATTGTTCAGTTATAAACACTTTATTTTTTATTAAATTTATTGTGATGACATCGGTTAATAAAATTATATAGGTTTCAAGTGTACAGTTCTATAATACATCATCTATATATTGCATTGTGTCTTTACCACCCAAAGTCTAATCTCCTATCACCATATATTTGACCCCCTTTACCTTCTTCTACCTCCCCCCACCTCCTGAGCCTCTGTTAACCACTAAACTGTTTTCTGTGTCTATGAATGTTTGTTTGTTTGTCTTGCTCATTTGTCTATTTAATTCTGCTCTAATTTTTATTATTTCCTTCTTTGTGCTGACTTTGGGCTTCATTTGTTCTTTTTCTAGTTCTTTAAGATGTAATGTTGGGTTGTTTATTTGGGATTTTTCTTGTTTCTTGAGATAGGCCTGTAAATGATACAAATTTCCCTCTTATTACCACTTTGCCTGCATCTCCCAAATTTTGATATGTTGATTTTCATACTCATTTGTTTCTATAACTCTTTTTATCTCTCCTTTTATGTCTCCTTTGACCCAGTAGTTTTTTAGTAGCCTGTTGTTTAATCACAACATTTGTGTTTTTTCCCACTTTCTTTTTTTGGTTGATCTCCAATTTCAAAGCACTGTGGTCGAAGAATATGCTTGGTATGATTTCAATCTTCTTAAATTTGTTGAGGCTAGTTTTGTGACCGAACATATGGTCTATCCTTGAGAATGTTCCATGTGCACTAGAGAAGAATGTATAGTCTGGTGTTCTGGGATGAAAGGCTCTCTAAATGTTGATTATGTCCATTTGATTTAATGTGTCATTTAAGGATGGTATTTCCTTACTACATTTCTGTTTGGATGATCTATCCATAGCTGTTAATGGGGTATTTAGGTCCCCTACAATAATTGTGTTTTTGTCAGTTTCTCCCTTTAGTTCCATTAGTAGTTGCTTTATATATTTTGGTGACTCCTGATTGGGAGCATATATATTGATAAATGTTATGTCTTCTTGTATTGTCCCCTTTATCATTATGAAAGTTCCATCTTTCTTTCCTGTTACTTTTTTCATCTTGAAGTCTATTTCTTCAGAAATACGTACAGGATACACCCGCTTTTCTCTGGGTGCCATTTGCTTGGAGTGATCATTTTCTACATTTTCACTTTGAGTCTATATTTGTCCTTGTAGCTAAGATGTGTCTTTTGGAGGCAGCATATGGTTGGGTTTTGGTTTGAGATCCAATCTGTTACTCTGCGCCTTTCTATTGGTGAATCCATTTATATTTAGGGTGGTTATTGGTATATAAGGATTTCCTGTATTCATTTTATCTTTTGTTTTCTGGTCGCTTGGCCCCTCCATTGTTTCTTAACGCTTGTATTTCTATTAATTTAGTTTCATGGTATTCTATGATTTTTCCCACTGTTTCCTTTTTTATGTTATGTGTCTCAGTGGTGGATTTTTTTTATGTGGTTACCATTAGGTTTATGTAAAAGAAAGTTTCATATATACAGTAATCTTTTTTCCTCAGCATGCTTATCTCTATTCCCTTTGCAGATTCAGAACTTCACTCTCTCTCTTTTTATGTTTTTGTTGTCACAAATTATCCCTATTTATGCTGTGAGTGGATTTCTGAGTTGTAGTAGCAAATTGTTTTTTTTCTCCTCTTTTTTATATTTTTATTTTCTTTAACCTGTATGTTATGTTTAAGTGTATAGTACCCTATTCTATGTAGGGGTTGCCATTTCCTGTTTCTGTCTGTCTGTTAGTCATCTTGCTCATGCTTTTGTATCCTTTTGTCTTCTTGTTTCAGGTCGAATAGCCTCCTTCAGTATTTCCTGTAATGCAGGCCTTGTGGTGGAAAATTCCCCCAGCTTCCGTATGTCTGGAAAGGTTTTTATTCCTCCTTTATATTGAGAGGATAACTTTGCTGGATGTATTATTCTTAGCTGGTCATTTATCTCTTTCAACAGTTTGAATATTTAATTACATTCACTCCTGGCTTGTAGAGTTTCTGCTGAAAAGTCTGATGATAATCTAATGGGCTTTCATTTGTAGGTTACTGTTTTCTTTTATCTGGGTGCCTTCAGAATTCTTTGTCATTAATTTTTAACAGCTTCAATATAATGTGCCTTGGAGAAGGCTTGTTAGGCTCGAGGAAATTAGGTGTTCTGTTTGCTTCTTGGATTTGAGAATCCAGTTCTTTCCATAGGTTTGGGAAGTTCTCATCAACTATTTGTTTGAATAAACTCTCTGTGCCCTTCTCCCTCTCTTCTCCTTCTGGTATACCCATTATTCTTATGTTGCTCTTTCGGATGGAGTCAAATAGTTCTTATAGAATTTTTTTCATTTCTTTTAACTCTCAGGTCTCTCTCTTCTTCCATCTGCATCATTTCCAAATTTCTATCTTCGATATCACTAATTGTTTCCTCCATCTGGTCAGTGCTACTTCCTAAGCTGGTTATTTCGTTCTTCATCTCTTTTATTGAGTTCTTCAGCTCCTGAATTTCTATTTGGTTCTTTCTTAAAATTTCACTATTTTTGGTAAAAGATTCATTTTGTCCATTGATTTTATTTCTGATTTCATTAAACTGCCTATCTGAGTTTTCTTGCATCTTGTTGAGTTTATTCAGAACTGCAATCTTGAATTCTTTGTCATTTAAGTGACATATTTCTATTTCTTTAAGTGCATTTTCTGGAGATCTTTCTTTCTTTCTTTCTTTCTTCCTTTCTTTCTTTCTTTCTTTCTTTCTTTCTGAGCTGCCTTGTTACCTCGGTTATGCATGGCAATTGATGGATTTCTCTTTCTGGGCATCTAAAGGAGTGGATTCTGCACCAGGTTGATATAAAGAGGTCTTTCTTTTGCTTTCCCATAGGTGGCACTGGAGTGTTTTATTTTCTCTTATGCTGCTGTTCTGGCTTCTCCTATGATGGGATGTTTCCTGGGAGGTGGGATTCTCCTCTGTGATCAGTTTGCCTCAGTCTCAGTGCACTGTCCATGTGGGAGGATGTGGTGGACGATGGGGTTCTGAGCCTCTAAAACCCCAATACTGCCCCTGCAGCCCGATGCAGGGCTTGTGTGTCTCAGCACTTCTGGGTATCCCTGCAAGGATCAGCCAGGAAAGGTGGGGGTGGGATGGGCTGGGAGAGGAGGCAGGTATGTTTGTGGCTCTGAGCAATGGAGACTTCCAGCCCACAACTGTCTTGTCCCTACAGCTCCTTCCCTGTCACCAGAATTACCCGCACTGTGCGTCTGCCACTCTGGGACTGTCTCTCCGGTTCTCAGGGCTGTAGATATTCTGCTCTTTAATCTAACACTGCTACAATGTATTCTGGGGCCAGCTTGTAAGTAACACTTGGGAGGGTGGGGGGAAGCTGCCAGGCTCCATGCCTTTGTTTTCTGCCTGGAAGTGAGGGCTGAAACCTCAGTTCTCACCCTTCTGTATTTGGTCTTTGCCCTGAGGTCTCTGCCCAGATCACTGAGTTCAGCCATATTATATGCTGATCTCTCAGGCAGGATTGTGGGCCACCGAAGTGCACCTGCGGTCTCAATCCTTCCCTCTCCCAAGACCACAGTGAGTTCCATGGTCTGTCTTGTGGCCAGTGTCTCTGTACTTCCCCCTTCCCTTCTCCCTGGTTCACCCCAATCTGCCCACCTTCAGATGTTTTAATGTGTTTATCTCTCAGACGTGTTTGTGTGTTGTGTAGGGTATCCTTTGTTAAATTATAGCTGTTCAATTTGTGGTATCTTCCCGGGGAGATTTCAAAAAGCAGCCCTCATGACACCATGTTTCTGATGTTCCTTAGTTATTTTCAATACAAATAGATTAAACTTTCCAATCAAAAGACAAAAAATAGCAAAAGGAATTTTTAAAAAACATGATCCAACTATATGCTGTCTATAAGAGACTCATTTTAGATGCAAAGTTACAAATAGTTTGAAAGTGAAAGA